CGGCCTGCTGTGTTCATCCAGCCCTGCACCTTGTTGTCTCGGATTCTCCAGCATCTGCAGTTCCTACTATCCCTAATTGTTTCGGGACTGAGTTTTATGTTTGTTCCATCTGAAAAGTATCCACAGGCTTGGCTTTATCAGTTCAGGAATGCCTGCTACAAAAATAAGGAACAAAAACAAAGTTGCTGGAAAAGATAAGCAGGTCTGGGAGCATCTGTGAAGGAAAAAATAGAGTTAACATTTTGGGTCCGGCGACCCTTCCTCAGAGCTAGTTCCTGATTTACAGCATCTGCAGTTCTTTCGGTTTTAATTTGCAACAAAAATAAAGCTGCTCAGCTCGAGTCTTCTGTTTCTGAAGCACTTTTTGTGGTGAATTCAATGTGAAACCTGATTGGTTATTCATATGAAAGAGTGACTGAAAGAACTTCTCAATATTCTATTTCCTGAGCAAGCTGTGCTTGTGAAGACTGCAGAGACAGCTGAGCGGTCTTGACCACTTGTAAAGAACACCAAATCATTAGACTTTGGAACATTCAATGCTTTGTACATTTGCCTTCAAAAATAACCACCAATGACCAAAGTGTTCTTTTTTTCTTTTTCAAGTCAGTCTCCGCAGAGAATTTTTTTTACCCTTTACTTGAATGTTATCATTGACCAGAAACTGAGCAGCTTAGTCATTTAAGTACTGTGGTTACAACAGTTGGTCAAGTTGAGGAATCCAGCTGAAGGTAGGTCATCTCCTAACTCCCAAAAGCCTGTACACTATTCAGAAGTCATGAAGCAAGAGAATGGTGGAATATTCCCCACTTGCCTGGATGAGTGCAGCTCCAACAACACTCAAGTAGCAAATTGACTCCAGTGGTTCAAGAAGGCAGTTTACCATCACCTTCGCAATTGCATTGAGGGATGTGCAAAAAGTACTGGCTCAGTCAGCAATTCCTTAAATGGAAAAGACAAAATTGCTAATGTTGGTAAATATTCAGAACTGACAGCACTCTGTCAGTACCACCTGATTGGAACGTACCCAATGAATTCCCAAGACAGTCTTTTAGTTGACTCGTGCCTGACACTAATATATAACTAACCCCCTCCTTAGGGCTTGGAGTGAGTTTATAACAGGGAGCATGTGACATGCAGAAGTCTTAAAGATCAGTGCCATTACTAGAACTATCTAGACCCTGAAATGTATAACCTTTCCCTGTACATATGTGTTTTATTTTTGCTTTACCAATTTACTGTTTGTTCCGGTCTATTTTGAATGCATTTTTATCTGACTAGGGGATAATTGCCTGGGTATCAGGAATCCTTACCTTCTCCGACATGAAATCAGCAAATTTCTTCTTTGTCCTCCTCTCCTTACTGACTGTGTGGAGTCTGCCAATAGCAGCAGGAGCCTCTCTGTGAGCTTCAAACCATACAAGGTCCAAATTACAAATAAACCTCTCCCACCAAAAGCCCATACAATTGAAACCAGGGAATCTTCTTAAATTCCACTTAACTCCATGATGGCATAGCCTGCTCTGGATTGTTCTCAACCTGACCTTATTAAGGATTGTTGAATGTTTACAAATTAATTTAACTTTTAACTCCCAAAATAAAACATTCCTCAAGAACATAATTATTTCAATCATGGTGGACAGCAATTTTACAGGCCCACTTTCTGTTTTTATAGCTCTTATCTTTCTAACCATTAACCCTTTAAATCACATGACCTCAATCTTTTAAGTGTAATAGGGTTCAATTTTCTTGTATTTATCCAGTTTTCTACAGTAAAAATTTAATACCTAAAACTAAAAGTTCAGTACTAAACCACAAGCCATTAAGTAGATATTTGCGACAATAACAATAATGTCAAATGAATGTTTCTCACAGGTCACAGAAAGTGTTCTCAGGACTTTTTACAATGTTATCAGTAACAATTGTCATTGCTCCAAACAATTGTCATTTCTGAATCTTTTCTCTGTTGATTGTAGGTTTTGGGTGTGAGCCCTGGATTCAAATGAAGGCAAATAAAATCAATGAAATCCAGCTTGTGTGTAAATCCACAGGATGGTTCCCTGTACCAGAGATATACTGGGTTAGAGAGGATGAAGATAATTTAATACAAGCTGAAACAAGGTCACATCCGGACTCTACAGGTCTTGTTGACATCCAAAGCAACATTGTTATAACAAGACAATCATCAAACAGATTCACGTGTCTTGTACGAAATGTGCATCTCAAAACAGAACAAGCAGTAACTATCAGGATATCAGGTTTGTAAATTAAAACATATACTAAATAAAGGCAGAGGTGATTTAAATCTACCATAAATAAAAACATAGACTTAACTGTCTTGAAGATGTCATATAATGCTAGATCAGGGAGTTGATTTATTGATTGATTTTGATTGTCATGTGAACTGAAATACAGTGAAAAGCTTTGTTTATGAGTGGTACAGGCAGATCACAGCAAGCAAAGGATATACAGATCAAAAAGACTGAGAGGCATACAGGTTACGTTGCAGGTTACATTATTTGAGGCTAGAGTCCATTCAACAGGCTGATAATGGCCAGAAAGAAGCTGTTCCTGAACCTGCTTGTGCATGTGTTCAGGCTTCTGTACCTTCTGTCTGAGGTTGTAGCAGGTCATTACCAGGGTGCAATGGGTCTTTGATGATGTTGGCCACCTTTCTGCAGCAGCGAGCTGTGGTAAATGGAGTCCATGGATGGAAGGTTGGCTTCCGTGATGATCTGGGCTGTGCATACCACCTTCTATAGTTTCTTATGATCCTGGGCAGAGGGTTGCCATACCAGGCCGTTAAAATGGTGCATCTGTAGAAGTTGGGAGGGACCTTATGGATCTGCCAAATTTCCTGAGCTGCCTGAGGAAGAAGAGGTGTTGTTGTGCCTTCTTCATTGTTGCGGTTATATGGGAAGCCCAGGACAGGTCATCAGTTAACGTCACTCCGAGGAACTTAATGCTCATCACTCTCTCAACCTCAGACAATATAATCCTGCCATTCTTATCTTAAACTTTTTTTGTTGAGATCCTACATCTCGATAAGTTTAAACGAGAAATTTAAGATGTTATGCTGATGCTAATAAACTTTGGCCACTCTGGTTGATAATTATTTTAATGTCACTAAGAATATTAAAGTTTTTTCTGGTTTACTGCTCATATTGACACCAAACCAAAACCAACAAACTCCTTCACTATTATGATTGTTGCTTAAAATTTGCAGAAGTTAAAAGTGACCACATTCAAACAGTCCCCAAAGTGTTGACACAAAAGAATAGTGTTGTATTGTCACTGATACCAACAACAATCAGTCTTTTATTGATGTATGATCCTGGAATACTGCCTGAAGGGTAAACATTCTGTCCCAGAGAGTGACCCAGTCCTAACACTGCCCCCATATCCCAGAATGAACATTCAGGCATAATTTGCAGATAGATTACAGACAGGTTAATTGAGTGAGCTAAAATCTGGCAAATGGAATGTAATGTGTGAAAATGTAACAATGTTCACTTTAGCAGGAAGAATAAAAAAGTAGAGTAGTACTTAAATGGAGAGTGACTGCAGAATTTCAAGGTACAGAGAGATCTTGGTGTTCTAGTGCATGAGTCACAAAAAGATACCATACTGTTTTTTTATTTCAAAAATTTATTTTATTCATAGAAAATCTTTATATAGTTACATAGTCACTAGAGCAGTTTGATTCTGTACACTGTGTTAACATATGTAGAACAAACAAACCCAAGGCATTTCTTACTTATACAAGATTATATTTACATACATAAGGCATGGGACGATCTGATAATTGAACGAACCCCCATTGTACTTTGGCTGAAAGGCTTTAGATAGTGGTCTTTTCCCACTGAGCCTTGGTGGCAGCTGCCCTAAGCTTTAGTGTGGCCCTCAGCACGTAGTCCCGGACTTTGGAATGTGCCAGTCTGCAACACTCAGTCAAGGTCAACTCCTTGCTCTGGAAGACCAACAAGTTTCAGGCAGATCAAAGAACATCTTTCACCAAGCTGGTGGTCCTCCAGGTGTGGTTGATGTTTGTCTCAGTGTACTTCCCGGGAACAGACCACAGAGCACAGAATCCTGTATCTTGGAACTGCTTGAAACAAACCTCGACAAAAATCACAAAATCTTTCTCCAGACTTCCTTTGTAAAGGCACATTCCAGAAGGAAACCTGTGATAGTTTCTAACCTCCAGCAGCTGCTTCAAGGGTAGTGTGCATTGGCACAGACTGATTGAGCGTACATGAAGGACCTCACAGGAAGTGCCCTTCTTACCACCAGCTAAGCAATGTCTTCGTGCTTGTTGAAAAGTTTAACTGAAGAAGGATTCAGCCAAATGACTCTCAGTCTGCTTAGAGAAAAACCCAACAGGATCCACCCTCTCCTTTACCTGCAGTGTCTCTAGGATACTGCATGCTGACCACTTCCTCATGGGCAAAGGTACTGGCGGGGAGGTTTTCTCCAGCCACTCAGGGAGACTTGTGGCCAACGGCTTGAGGACACCATTGGGTACATTCTCCCCCCTTATTCAGAGCTTTGTACATGGTGTCCCTGCAGCCACCGTCCATCTTAGACCTCCAGATGAAGTGGAAGATGGCTCGAGTGACTGCAACAACGCAGGTTCTAGGACTGGGTCAGACTTGCGCCACGTACAACACAGAGAGTGTCTCACCTGATGAGTATGTTTTTACCGACAATGAATAGGGAGCGGTGTTCTGTTCCTCCCAAGTGTTTTCACATGCCCAGCCCCTCTGAACCGTATTCCCAGCACCTTCAGGTAGTCTGTCTTGATGATGTGGAGGATGAAGGATTGGTCTGCCCAGTTCCAAAAAGAATAGCCTCGCTCTTTGATTTACCTTGGCTCCTGAGGCCAGTTCAAACTGGTCACAGATGCGAATGAGTCTGTGCACTGACAGCAGAAAACAGTGATGTTGTCCTTGTACAGGGAGGTTTTGATCTGCAGGCCTCTGCTGCCTGGATTATTCATCCCTCTCAGGCTCACATTCTTCCATCCACATTAGAGCAAAAGGCGCTATACAACACACATAAGGCAGGAGAGAGTGGTCAGCCCTGCCTGGCTCTGGATCTGATTGATTGATTGAGATTGCACTATTGATGTTGGTGTAGAGCAGTTGGATCCAATTGCGGGTTCTCTCCTCAAACCTTATTTTGGAGAGTACGTCCTACATGCAGGTGTGTGATACCCTGTCAAAGGCCTTCTCCTGGTCCAGGAGAATGAGGCAGGCATCCACCTCCCTGTCCTGCATGTAGGCAATCATATCCCTGAGGAGTGTGAGGCTCTCAGAGATCATCCTATCTGATACAACACAGGTTTGGTCGGGGTGAATCACCGACCCAAGAGCAGACCTGACCCGTTTCGTGATGACTTTGGACAGAATTTTGTCACCTGCATTTAACAATGAAATTGATCACCAATTTCTAGTTTCCTCCCACTCCCCTTCCACTTGTAGATGAATGTGGTGATACCTTTCCTCATGCAATCACACATGCTACCTCCCAGAAGCATACTGTCGTACACCTCCAGCAGGTCCTGGCCAATCAGCTCCCATAGGGCAGAATACAACTCGGCTGGTAAACCATCGCTTCCGGCAGCTTTATTCTTTGAGGTCTCGAGGTTCCTTAGTCAGCTCATCCAGCGATAATGGCTGGTCTAGCGTCTCCCACATGCTGTAGCCTAAGACCTCTGCTTTAGAGGAAAAGGAACGACTGGAGGTCGTGCTGTCTGTGGGCTTTGTGTCATACAGTCTGGCATAAAAAGGATTTGCTGATCCTCAGTATATCAGACTGAGATGGCGTTACCGAGCCATCTTCTTCTTTCAGGCTGCTGAGCACAGCACTCTCCTTGTGCACCTTCTGCAAGAAGAAACATGAGCACATCTCATCCTGCTCCATAGAGTGGATCTTGGACTGGAAGATTATCTTGGAGGCCTCCAAGACAGAGAGCAAGGCTTGCTGGCTTTTGCTTGCTAACTTCTGGAGATACTCAGTGACATCGCGTAGGATGCAGCAGGAGTAGGTTCTGCATGCTTTTCTGATGTTTGCACAGTTTTCCCCATCTCTCTCTCTCTCTCACCTTCTGATCACCTTTGAGGTTGCTTGGATTAGTGCAACTTCAAGAATTCTCAAGGAGCTCGACACTGTCAAGGATAAAGCAGCCCACTTGATTGGCACCATAACCATAAATGTTCATCTCTCCACCACTGACACTCAGGTGCAGCAGTGTGCAAAAGATGCACTGCAGAAACTCATCAGGGCTTATTAGACAGCATTTTCCAAATCCACAACTGCCACCATCTAAAAGAGCAAGGGCAATAAAAATGGAAACACTCCCACCTGCAATATTCCTCCAAATCCAATCAATATGGGAAACATATCACTGTTCCTTCAGTATCACTGGGTAACAATCCTGAAAAACTTCCAACAACATCTGGGTCTACTACACCAAATAAACTAGAGCCGTTCTATAAGACCATAAGATGTAGGAGCAGGAGAAGTCATTCAGCACTCGCGTCTGCTCTGCCATTCAGTGAGGTAATGGCTGACCTGATAGTCCACAATTTCACTCATTGGGTTCCACAGGGATCATTGTTGGGACCACAACTATTCACGTTATGCATTAATGATCTGCATGAAGGATTTGAGGGATATTATTGCTTAACTAGCAGGTAACACAGTGATCGGTAGATAGTTAGTGTTGAGGAAGTGGGGAAGCTATGGAAGAAGGTGGACAGGCTGGGAGAGTGGGCAAAGATGTAGATGATGGAATGCAATTGAAATAACTCCACAGAGGCAGATATCCTGCCACCAAGTCACCCTTTATTTACCTGTGGAAATCCTTGACTCTGGCACAGCCTCATCAGAGTCAGCATCCAGAGTGACAGAATCTCTGACACTCCTCTTTTTATGTCAGCCAGGGCTCCCTGATTGGACCAGATTAACAGCCCCAGTCAGGGAACTCATTCTTTGATATCCGCTTGGCTGGCCTGATTCCAATCACTACATCCCTCCCACTCTGAGTACGAGGACAGCGGCTGGTCCTTTTTCTTAGAGAGTCTCCTGGTGCATTTTAGCAATGGATCAGGTTCCTCTGACTTGGCGTCTGATATTGGAGGCATGTAACACAAGAGCTCGCCTCTTGCACCAGAATTCCGCGGTAGAAATTCACTCTCTTCTTCTGATGGCAAACATATTGATGCAGCTACATCTGTCATGTCCATCTTGGATT